AACAGTCTAACTCTATAAATCACTTTTGCCAAAAGAAAAGTAGTAGAGTATAACGTCTAAAAGCATGGATTTAGGAACAAAACAGCCTTGTTTCAAGTCTAAGTTCCATCTCTTATTGTTTCACCTTTGCCAAACGTATTGCACCACAATAAACCCATCTTTAAAATTGATGGTGCAGGACCAGCCAATGCTTGCTTCCGTTGTACATAGGGTTGCTATCAGTCAGAACCAACTTGACAGCACCTAACAACAACAACAAAAACATGTTGTTGTTGTTAGGGGCCTTCGAGTCAGTTCTGACTCATAGTGACCCTATAGGACAGAGTAGAACTGCCCCATAGGGTTTCTACGGAGCTGCTAGTGGGTTTGAACTGCCGATGTTTTGGTTAGCAGCCAAGCTCTTAACCACTACACCACCAGGGCTCCCAAAAACAACATAGGAGTGTTGATAAGATTAAAATAGCTGGAACCTACTCAACAAGTGTCCTGTTCATAATAATTGATTTATAATATTAGCAATTCACAATAATGATTAATGTAAATAAAGGTAATTAAGATGTCTATCCAAAGAATATAATATAGAAGTTTTATCTTATGTTCTGAAATGAACCAGCTACGACATTTTTATTAGCATAACTTTGATTAGTTCATCTGAATAAGAAAAGATAAGTGAGTATAAGCACTAACTCTCATTTTATGCTGGAGGAAGCTTACTGATGTGAGCAGAACTGTCCCAACAGTAGTTATGGTTAACTCCCTTCCTTCACTATCAGTAAAAAAAGAGAGACAGAAAAATCCCATCTGTCCATATGACAAGTCCAAAATCAGACACCTGTGGCAAATATGTGTAGCAGTGAGTACCACAGATGCTCTATATTAAGTACAAACCATATGCTCGATGATTTACTTAAATTGGATTGGGAGGATGATCAACTATAGAAAAAGTCCACAGAGCAATTAAGGAACAACATGTTTTGCTGCTCTCATCTTCTCTCCTTTAGTCCCAGATGTTACAACCACTACAGAGGTATTAGTCAATTTCTTAATTTATTGTCAGATTGTTAAAAGTTTATGAAGATTCTGACCCATTTTGCTACATTTGTTTTGGCATCAAGATTAATTTAATTATAACTGTCTTGGGGAAAAAAGAAACACAGTAGGATAACATAGGTCATATCTGAATGATTTAGTAATTTTACGAGGCATTCCAAGTACTTGTTCATTCTCTCCCTTCGATGTGCGTGATTGCCCTGGAGAAAAGAAAGTATAAAGGGAGGTGACATCCATCTACCTTTCCTAACTGACATTACTCAGTTCCTCAATAGTTGTATCTCTAAAGGGAAGCCCATAATCTTTCCTGGATTTCCAATAGCTCTGGTATTTTGTTCAAAGGCTCTACCTGTATCACTTTCCCATTTTTTAAAAAAGGTTGTCACTTAATATTTAGAAAATAAAAATTGGTAATAAAGTTCAATTTTTTCTAGCTCAAGTTATCTGTAGAACCCTAATAAAACATGGTCCTCTTTTTAATTTTATTTGTAGTTTAAGCTAAGAATGTATAATGTGAAGGAAAACTCATGGCATAGGTTTTGCTCTAATTTAGTCCATCTCTAACATATGCTAAGCCAGTGATATTATTTAAGACACCTGCTTCCAAAAGCTCACAGCCTTAAAAGCCCTATGGAGCACAATTCTACTCTGATGCACATGGGATAGCCATGAGTCAGAATTGACTTGATGACAACAGGTTGATGGTTTTAAGCATTCATTAACTACATGTTTAATTGAATTGACTGCTGTCTAGTTAAATACTCTGCTTAAATCAGTGTTTCCAGGTATAAGATACAAAGCTCAAAGAAAATAATCACCAATTGCCAAAGAATTTGGAAAACAAATATATGAATACACTAAGCGAGTGGTTTTCAAGTTCTGTTCCCCAGATTGGCAGTGTCTGCATCACCTGGAAACTTGTTGGAATCCCCAACTCTGAACTAGTGAAGAAGAAGCTCTGCGGGTGGAGTCCAATAATCTGTGTTCTAACAAGCCCTCCTGATGATTCAAATGTGCTCTAATGTGTAACATCTACTAAACAATAAACATATGCATTGGAAAGAATGTGTGATTATATAGAATCTCCCTTGGAAGTTTTGGGGGTGTGAGGGCTACCATTGTTCAATAACAACAAATATTTTATTACTATACCTTAATCAGTGAACTAGATTAAAATCCATATGGGGAGAAAAACAACTTCATTAGATAGATTCTTAACCCTCTAGTGCAGCACTATCCAACAGAACTTTCTGCAATGATGGAAGTATTCTATATCTATGTTGCCCAGGTGAAATGTGTCTGAGAAACTGAATTTTTAATGTTATTTAATTTCAAATAATTTAAATTTAAATAGCTGTATGTGGCTAGTGGCTACATGTTAGACAGCACAGCTCAAGTGGCTCTTTTTCAAATAGAGGCTATTAGATATTGCATGAAGATCTTCAACATTAGAAAAAAAGGGATAATTTCCTAAGTGGCATGAAATACAATGAGAGGGGTTAAACACCAGAGAAGGTGATATTTAGGGTGGGTCCTGGTAGATGGGGCAAGATTTCAAAAGACAGAAATGAAAGAGATTATAGTCAGAGACTCTAACATGCTACAAAAATGTACTACATTAAAAGGTACAGTAATTGTTCAAATTGGTTTATGTACAAAGTATATGTGTCATAAGATAGTGGAAAATAGCAAAGAAAATTTCACTGTATCCAGAGTATGAAAGAGTATAAAGTTTGGATGCTATTCTCTATTCGTTAAAAAATAATGAATATTGCAGGCAAAGGAAAACAGAATCTGGAAGATGTTTAATTTTATAGGATGTATTCACTGACGGCAGGGTAAAACAGGACACAAATGTAACTTTCAAGCCATGAGTGTGCTAATTTAGCCATTTTTTGGCATAATTAAATAATTATTTGAATGTCTATTATAGATCCAGCATTTGCTAACACACTAAATTGTCAATGTTTATTAGATCTACTTTAGCCGGAGAGTGGTGAGGTGCTAATTGCAAAAAGTGATTCTTAGATCTCCCATCAGACACACTAAATCAGAATTTCCAAGTGTGGAGTCCAAGAATCTATAAAGTATTCAGCATTTTTTTTTTTTAAACTGGTGATTCTTTATAGCACAAACATTTTTGAACTGTTGGGTAAGGAATAAATAGTAAGATCTCAACTTGGATGGATTATATATATAATTAGGTTAATATATAATATTTAGAAATTTGGCCAAAACATTGGATGACCTTGTGTCTTGCACTGATTTTAGATTCTTCATGTCTATGTTGTACCATTCTCATGAAATTAATGGGTTCTGAAAACCAGTCTTGTGAGCTTTTAAATCTATGGAATCATACAAAGTGACATGTCAGATTAAGTCAACTATCTCTATAATTTAGCCTAAATCCACTTTCACCTGATGTAGCCAGATAACTTAGGGAAGAGAATTGGGTGCTGAACTGTTTAACCGATCACATCAGCTCGATTCTTTATAGGAAGTCAGATGTGTTCCTAGTGCGTATTCATCCCAATGGATGAGTGTTCTCCATATAGCAGTTATAGAAGTCACTATGCTCCCTTTTGTAATTGGGTCTGTGTTTTTTTTTTTAGGATATGACACTGCATGGAATAATCTACCTCCTTTCCTATAGGAAAAGAGACCTACAAGAGTAACGTGAATGCATTTCCAGGCCTTTCTGATTACAGAGCCTGTGAAGTATTTACAATAAAAAGAAGTGTTATATTGTATCTGTAGGCCTCGTACTCTATTTAGACCCCAAGAAATCTGGCATTTGTCAGTGAGAATAAAGGAATGGGGAAAAAGATTCTAAAAGTGATGTTGATGGTCACAAGTGCCACTGCCCTGTAAGCCTTTACTTTCACTATGATAACAGTTTAAAAAAACAAAACCATTGCTGTCCAGTCAATTCTGACTCATAGCAACCCTATAGGACAGAGTAGAGCTGTCCCATAGGGTTTGCAAGGAGGGGCTGATGGATTTGAACTGCTGACCTTTTGGTTAGCTGTATAGCTCTTAACCACTGCACCAATGATAACAATTAGGAGGAGTGCCAAAATCACAATGCTGCAGCAATAAGCCTGGAACTGGCAGCAATTCAGATGCTGTGTCAATGGCAGAAGGAAATAAAATCAAGGAGTTACTTGTTGTTCCTTCTCAGCCACACTGCAATAACCTACTCTGTTCCCAGTCTTCATTTTCAAGGTAAGAGACTGAAGTGTGAAACATGGAAATTCTCTCAGCTTTATTTTAAAGAATTCTATTTCCTGCATGTTGAAGTAACTCCTTTTAATATACTGCTTTTGATATATGAAATAAAAGTAATGGACATACATTATAAAAAAGATACCCGTTCCCACTTAGCTTACAAAATGCTGTTCCTCTTACCTGCTGCAATTGATTAAGAGTAAAACATCAGCATTCATCAGGGAACTCTAAGCATGGTAAATTTCTCTGGCCCCATGGTGTGTTAAAGATTTTTCTCCCTATAATTTAAGTCTGTTTACTATTTGCATATTGCTTATGCATCGTGGATGCTGAAAAATTGGGAATTTGCACCAGAAAATAATATATACACCAAACATTTACATTTCCAACATTAAATATTTATATAATCCTGAAGACTGCTAGCAATTTCTTCCATTTTTAATTATAATCATGAAAGTGAAACCTGCTTAGTTATTCTGAAGAGACACTTTGCTATGCACTGAAATACTGTTTACAAATAAGTCTAGTCAATTGTTATCATGTCTTAATCCAACTCCATGGCTACTCTGTGCAATTTTATAGTTCAAAAAAAATGTTCAGAGCAAAATACATAATTCACATTATAATAACAATGGAACTGAGGGGAAAAAAAGGTCCATATAAGCCTAGTAAATAATAAAACAGCAAGTTGACTTTAATAGAATTTTAAAAATTACTTACTGGTGCTGCTTCAGCAACACATATATTAAAATTGGGAATATAGAAGATTAGCATGGCCCCTGAACAAAGATGACATGTAAATTCTTGAAGGTGTTCCATATTTTTTTGTTTCTTTTTTTCTTTTTTCATAAAGTACCTTCAGCAAACTGGTTCCAAATCTGGGCTCATTCAGGAATATATTTGTGATCATTGAAATAATCTGTAGATATTTAAAATATTTGTAATGTTTGAAAATTTAGCAAACTAGAATATTTGTCAGAATAGTCTTGAGATTCCAATTTTAAACGTGTAATGGAAATGCATAAAAACACTTGACTAACTTTGAAAACAGTATTGGAATATATAAAAGAATCAAAATATGATGAAAAAAATTACTTAATTGCATTATTTTCCAAGAATGATATTTTCTCATGATTGAAATTTCTGAGCCCTGAGAAAAAGAAAATGCCGTATTTTCTCCCTCATTCGAATATACTACTAATTATGCACACATTCATTTTACAGTGGCAAAAATTTCACATAGAGCCACCTTCCCACCTACCTACTTTTCGAAAATTTTGGTAGACTTTATAGCTTTAAAATGAAGTTAATATTGCACAATAAAAATGACCCATTCATTTAAAACTGTAAGCTCATGACCATTTAATAAGAGCACTAGGGTGAGCTCAGGCTTGACTACAAATAAAATTTAATAAGTAAATCTGACATACAAAATTACACGTAAGCATAATCTTGTTGCATGGCAATTATGTATACTTGGTAAGAATTTTTTTTAATTACTGTAACTGGAATTGCCTTTACAAATTAAACTATTATTATTTTTTTTTTTTAATCTCACTTCCAGTATATATAATTCGCAATGAAAACATGCACAATTGAGCCTTCAATTTAGACACACTCTAAATCCTTTGGACAAGTCACCATTGGTGGCTGTTTCCTTTGTTTCTTCTTCCCAAGCCTCCAACACACTGCACACCAAACAGTGTTAATCCAGTGTCTGTTTTTTGCCTTCACTTCTGAAGAACATTCCATTCTCCTAAATTCCTGACATCTGGAGTATGTAAGTTCTAGAAGACTAAAACCTGCAGGGATTCTACACCCCATGAACTGCTAAGTAGTGATGAGGTAATCTTGATTATGCCACAACAGTGAACAATACTGGGGAGAAAGATTTTAAATGTGATGCTGATGAAGACAAGTTCACTACAGGTCAGAATCAACTGGACAGCAATGAGTTTTTTGTTTTTATAAGTATTGGTCCAAAATAAAACCAAACCCATTGCTGTGAAGTCAGTTCCGACTCTTAGCGACCCTGTAGGACAGAGTAGAACTAACTGCCCCATAGGGTTTCCAAGGAGGGGATAGTGGATTTAAACTGCTGATCTTTTGGTTAGCAGCTGTCTTAGTTATCTAGTGCAGCTGTAATAGAAATGCCACAATTGGATAGATTTAATAAAGAGAAATTTATTTTCTCACAGTCTAGTAGGCTATAAGTCCAAATTCAGGGCATCAGCTCCAGGGGAAGGCTTTCTCTGTCTGTTAACTCTGGAGGAAAGTCCTTCTCATCAATCTTCCCCTGGACTAGGAGCTTCTCCACGCAGGAACCCCGGGTTCAAAGGACATGCTCTGCTCTCAGTGCTGGTTTCTTGGTGATATTAGGTCCCCCATTCTCTACTTGTTTCTCTTTCCTTTTACCTCTTGTAAGATAAAAGGTGGTGCAGGCCATTCCCCAGGGGAAATCCCTTTACATTGGATCAGGGATGTGAACTGAGCAAGGATGTTACATCCCACCCTAATCCTCTTAAGTGTAGTCTAATCTTGCCTCATTGACCACAGGCAGAGATAAGATTTACACACATAGGAAAATTAATCACAAAATGAAGGACAACTACACAATACTGGAAATCATGGACTAACCAAGTTGATACATATTTTTTGGTGACACGATTGAATCCATAACAGCAGCCCAGCTCTTAACCACTGCACCACCAGGGCTCCTTGCCAAAATCACATTTCTGCAACAAGAAGCTTGTAAGTGGCAGAAATTCTGATCATATATCTAGAAAGTATATCTGGAAACATTGAGATGATAGTTCATGGAAAGAAGTCCACCATGCCATTTTGCACTCAGGCGAGGGATGATAAGGGTTAGAGTTCAGAACAACTTACACTTTATAAAGCAAGGCAAGAGGAAGAGATATCGTCTCTTGAAAGATAATAAATTCTGATAAGTTCCATTAAACAGTGGAAGAACAAGAAAGTATATTTTAAAGGGCTGTTATACAAGAGAGCAGGAAGTATAGTGAGCACTCTCAGAATCAGATCATCCTGGTTTAAAGTTCTTCAGAAGATTTGATCAAGTAGACTTGATGCAGGGATGAGATTTAAATAGATAGGAGGGTGGCAGTCTCTTAATGGACCCATCTTGTTGCTAGATGTTTTCTAAGACATATTAATCTTTCCAGCATTTATGTGTTAATGACTTTACATGCTTGTAAGATACCTGAAACTAGCCATGTAATGAACAGCACTATTAGTAATAAGGATTTAAAAACAACCATCTTTGGTCCCTTAAGAAAATTGAAATCATTCTTTTTTTTAAAAGAAACATGCATGAATTAAATGACCCACATTTCCATTAGGACTAAATTTCCCCTAGGGAGTTCCTAATCTATTTAATAAGACAAATGGAAACTTTAGAGCAAAGAAATGCTTCACATTGGCTTAGAAATTTAAATTCCCATCCAATAACAATTTACTTTTCTAAAAAAATTTCAGATGAAATACACAGTCCTACTTATTTTTTGTTGCTTCTGTTGGTGTTTTAACCTGAATATATTTCATAAGTACTTCAAAAGAATACACAGAGAAGCTGAATGTTTCCTTTCTTTTTCAATATATGGACCCTACTCTTGAGTACTGGAATTGCATTTCATATCTGGTTTGGAATTCAGTTCTTGAGAGTTGAACATAATCATCCTTAATCTTTTTGACTGCTTACTTATTACTTTGAAAGAGTAGAGAGAAAGGTGCCTCTATTGAGTTTGCTCTCCAATCTCTGCTTCCTTACAGAGTGCAGGTAAATAATCTATATTTCAAAGACAGATGAACTTTACTTGATTTAATGGAATCTCTCTTTCAATATCTGAAATGAGAAAGTGATTAAAGCTTTGGTTGATAGGCAATATGTATTTTAGGAATAGATAAGCATAAAGGTCAGACCCTGTCAGAAAGGATTTTGACTTTCTTTAATATTTAAGTACTTCATATGAATCATGGTTTAAGCATTAATCGCATATTTTTAAGGTTGATTAAAAGTACTACATTTTGTATAATTCAAAATTGGTTCCTGCCACAGGGTAAAGATATTGGGTGAGGCAGGTATACTTTGTTGGATTTTTAATAGGGACTGAATCTATCCCATTCTCACAAGAACGTATGAGAAGATAATGGCTATTTGACATACCTTTTTGGAGAATTTAAAATACCGTTTGACATATTCCTAAATTATAATTAATATGAATTTCAATAGCCATATTTTAACTGTCACCTACATTCAAGGAAGTTCTCTTAAATTAATAGGGAAATAAATATCTAACCTTTATTGGGAGTTCACTATGTATCAACTGCTTTTCTACGTGCATTATAAATATCAGTTTATTGAATCTGCGCCCAGACCACTACCTGATCCTCAATGAGTATTTGTTGAAAGAATGAATGAACAACCTATGAAGTAGTTTCCTTTATTGTCCCTATTTTATAGATGGAGACTTTGTGACACATAGTGGTTATATAATTTTCTTAAGATTATAAAGTAAGTAAGTGATGGAGCTGGGTTTTAACATGGGTCCCAGAGCTAGAGCCAAAATTCCTAGACATGATATTATACCATGAGTTCTTAATATCAATAATAGCATATGCTTATATTTGCATAGCATATTATATTCTACAAAATATGTTTATTCATCTTTTGTTTATTCCTAATAACATTGTAAGATATGCATACTATCCCTCTTTTAAAGGTTTTCAACTACACTAGTTATCACTGTTCATGTTTTACAGGTAAGTGCTTGGATAATTAACTAAATGCCCTTAGTATAAGTTGAATACGTATGAAGTGACGGAATAAATGTATGAAGAAAACTCTTGAAGGATTTAAAGAAGATATTGTAGTCTGTTCCTGAATCAAGGCAATTTTATTGAGGAAGAAGAGTTTGCAATGATCCTTTAAGCAAAGTAATGACCGTTGTACAGCATCTCAGGTAAAAAAGAACAGCAAGAGTAAGGTGAGAAAGGAGACAAATACAGTGAAGTTGTAAAATTCTGGAAGTCAACTTGCAGCTGCATTCATAATACCTTCTAGGATTCTTCTATGTAGCAACAATGTGGACTTTTCTGGTATACTCCCAGGGATGTTGAGCATCCTCAGTATTTTTGACACCATCTGCTTTCTTTATCCAGACTCTGCTCTACCCCTTGTGAAATCAAGGATATTAAGATAATTCATAAGTAAACAGGAATAGAGCCCTAGGTTAAATCCTGGGTCTAATATGTATGACTTTGGGCAAAATACTTGTTGTTGTTGTCGTTAGCTGGCACTGAGTGGGTCCCAACTATGAAGACACCATGCACAACTGCCTGATCTTGTGTCATCACCATGATTGGTTGCAGTTCAGACCATCGTGATCCATAAGGTTTTCATTGGCTGATTTTCAGAAATTGATCACCAGGCCTTTCTTACTAGTGCATCTTAGTCTATCTTAGTCTGGAAACTCTGCTGAAACCTGTTCAGCATCATAACAACACATAAACTTCCATGGACAGATGGATGGTGGCCATGAAAGAGGTACATTGGCTGGGAATTGAATCTTTGTCTCCCACATGGATGGTGAGAATTCTACTGCTGAACCATCAATACCTCTGGGCAAAATAATTAGCTTCTTTGAATCTATTCCTTCATTGGAAATGGAGATAAAAATTGTTTATGTTATCTTCTGAAGAGAGTTTTATGTGAGGCCAAAAAAGAATCGTATATATTTCTAAGGGAGTGCATTTTAAATTATAAAATGTTATATACCTACTTTATGTAAAATATCACCACAATA